TTCTACATTAAACATTAATTCAACGTTACAGTAGTAGTAGTAGTAGTAGTAGTAGTAGTAGTAGTAGTAGTAGTAGTAGTAGTAGTAGTAGTACAGCAGCAGCAGCAGCAACAACAGCAGCAGCAGCAGCAGCAGCAGCAGCAGCCGCAGCCGCAGCAGCAGCAGTATAGTAGTAAGAATATCGTAGCGTAACCAGTAACGACAACAGTAACTGCTGTCACACAGCCGACAACATTTCCTTCTTGTCCTCAGACCTGACCATCGCCGACGAGCCGCTGCAGAAGGCAACCATGGACTTCTCCGCAGATACGACGACGACGACGACGACGACGACGACGGAGACGACGCCGACCGTCGGCGTTCTCGTCGGCGACACGGTGGCGCCACCTGAGTTCCGCACTCTGCACGAGATGTTCGACGTCGGTGCGACAAAATTCGCCGACGACGTCGCCGTCGTCTACGGCGGCAAGCGCGTCACGTTCGCCGAGCTCAGCCGACGCGCGACCCGACTCGCCAGCGCGCTCCACCTAGCGGTCGCACCGGCGCCACCTGGCGGCTGCATCGTCGGCATCGACATGGCGCCGAGCGACGCGCTCGTCGTCGCGCTGCTCGCCGTGCTGAAGCTAGGCTGGGCGTACGTGCCGCTAGATGTCGCTTTCCCCGCGGCGCGCATCCGACATATTCTCACAGACGCCCGCCCTCGCTGCGTTCTCACGGACGGAGACCCGTCGCCACAGCTGCTGCAAGGCAGCGACGGACTCGACGTCGCCCTGTACGACGTCGGCGAGCTCGAAGCGCGCGAAGCCGACCACGCTGTCGTCGCCGACGTCTCGTCGGACGTCGCCTGCGTGCTGTACACATCCGGCAGCACGGGGGTACCGAAGGGGGTCGTTCTGCCGCACGCCGCCGTCTTGAATCGACTCGCCTGGCAGTGGCGTCGCTTTCCGTACGCGCGCGCCGACGACGTCGCCGCCTTCAAGACGTCGCTGACGTTCGTCGATCACGTGACGGAGCTGTTCGCGCCGCTGCTGGCGGGCGTCTGCGTCGTCGTCGTGCCGCGCGGGACGGCGAGGTATCCGGAGACGTTGATCAACCTACTGGAGCTGCGGGCGGTGACGCGGCTCGTGCTCGTACCGTCGCTGCTGCGCGGTATCCTAGCAACTCTGTCCTCTGCCTCCGCATCCTCTTCTGCGTCCTCCGCTGCTGCTGCTTCCTCCGCGGCCGCCGCCGCCGTCGCCGCTGCTCCCTCCTCCTCCGCTGCTACTGCTTCCTCCTCCTCCTCCTCCTCTTCCGCTGCAGCCGCTTCATCACCCTCCTCTGTCCCCACCGCCGCCGCCGCTGCCTCCTCCTCCGTCGCCGCCGCCGCCGCCGCCGCCGCCGGGGGGCGCCTCGCGCGGCTAGCGCTGTGGGTGTGCAGCGGGGAGGCGCTGCCGTCGTCTCTCGTCGACGCCTTCTTCGCGACGTTCCCCGACGCGACGCTGTGCAACTTCTACGGCAGCACGGAGGTGATGGGCGACGTGACCTACGCGTCGTTCGCGTCGGCCGCCGACGCTGTCGCGCAGCGACGCGGCAGCGACAGCGCCCCGATCGGCCGACCAGTCGACAACACTGTTATCTACGTGCTCGACGCCGACGGAAATCCCGTCGTCGGCGACGGCGAGACGGGCGAGATGTACGTCTCGGGGCGCAATCTGGCGGCCGGGTACGTCGGCGCGTCGTCGTCGGCGACGGAGTCGCGATTTAGCGAGAACCGACGCAGCGGTGGCGACGCGCGATTCGGTCGGCTGTTCCGCACAGGCGACTTCGCGAGAGTCGTCGGCGGCGCTCTGCATTTCGTCGGTCGTCGCGACGCTCAGATTAAGGTCACCGGCCGACGGGTCGATCTGCGCGAGATCGAGGCTGCCGCCGAGCGGCTGCCGACCGTCGGCAAGGCGGTGGCGCTGTGCCGCAACGTCGGCGAGCCGAATCAGATGGTGGCGCTGTACTACGCGGGCGCGCCGACGGAGAGCGACGTCCGAGCGCACATGCTGTCGTGTCTCCCTGCATACATGCTTCCCATCCCTGTGCGCATCCCCGCATTCCCTCTACTGCCCAACGCGAAAGTCGACCGACAGACCCTTCTCCAGATTCACCCGACGCGCCGACGGAGCGACGATCGCCAGGGGGAGCCGGCGGCGCCGACCGACGCCGAGGCGGCGTTGATCGACGCCGTGTCGTCGGTGCTCGGCATTCCGCCGTCGGCTGTCGATTTACGTCTGGGTTTTGTCGACGTCGGTGGCGACTCTGCGAACACGATACAGACAGTGCTGCGACTGAACGAGAGCGGTTACTCCGTCAACGTGTCGCAATTCGTCGACGCGCCTTCGCTCGGCGACGTCGCGGCGACGATGACGCGTGGCGACGCAGCGCCGACGCGATTGACGCTCCCCGTCGGCCTGCGCGACCGCTACTCCGTCGTCCCGCTAAGCGAACTCGCCGACCCCCGCGAGCTCATCAATATCTTCGCCGACACGTTTGCGATGAACGAGATACTGACGTCGGCTGCGGGCGTGACGTCGGCGCAGTTCTACGACTTTATCAACAGCTTCTGGCGACGCTGCTTCGACGGCGGGCTCTCGTTCGGCGTCGTCGACCGGCGGCGCCATCTCGTGGCCGGCGTCGTAAACTTCGTGCTCGGCGACGAGCCGGAAATGTACCTGCCGCCGACGTTCGGAATCGTCGTCGATGTGCTGTCGACGGCCGAGCGTCCGGCGAAGCGGAAGCTGAGGGAGATGAAGATGAAGCCCTATGATGGAGAGGGAGGAGGTGGCGGAGTAAGGGATGGTGATGAAAAAGCAAGAGGAGGCGGAGGAGGGGATGAGCATGAAAAAGGAGGAAGTGGAGGAGATGATGATGAGAAAACAGGAGAAGGAGAAGGGGGAGAAGGAGGAGCAGGAGGAGATGGTGATGCGGATACAATAGCAGCAGTGGTTGTAGGAGGAGATCATGATAAGAAAGAAGGTGAAGGAGGTGTTAACGAAGGAAAAGGAGTAGATGGACAAAGAGGAGGAGTAGCGGGAGAAGGAGGTAATTATGAGGAGAGGTGTGAGGGAGGAGATAAGAATGAAGAGAATGAAGGAAAAGAAAAAGGAGGCCAACGAGAAGTAGAAAAAATGGAAGGAGAAGGAGAAAAGGGAGAAGTAGAAGTAGGACAAAAAGAAGAAGGAGGAGAAGGACCAGGAGAACGACGACAAGAAGAAATATGGGAAGACGGCAGAGGAGGAGGAAGAGGAAAGCTGCTCTATAACTTCATGCTGGGTACGGACGTGGCGACGCCCTTTCAGGAGAACGTCGGCTTGAGCTTTCTTATGGAGGAGGAGAATCTTGCGCTGGCACGGCGGCTCGGTTTCGCTGGCTGCTTCACGACCAACACACACGACGTCACACGCGTGAGTCATCCATGCACACCTTCGCATTTTACCCCCACGCTGCCTCTTGCTCACTTCCTTCCCTCGCTTCCCCGCTGCCTCCTCTCTTGCTCTCCCTTGTTCACTCCCTTCCCTCGCTTCCCCCCGTTTCACTCCCCCGTTGCCTCTCTACCCTGCTCCCAGCACAGCTCCCTCCCCTGTCCCTGTCCCTGCCCCGCTCGCAAATTTTTTTTCCTCACTTGAATTCCGGACCACAGCCAATCAGCGCACTCCATTCACTCGACTTCCTCGAAGCAACAATGTAAAATGGGTAACACCTATCACTAACCCTAACCCTAACCCTAACCCTAACAAGTAACCGAACCCTAACACTAACTATAATCCAACCATTTATATAAGAACCATTTATTACAAAACACTATCTATGGTGGGTCCGGAACTCAAGTGGGAAAACAAATTTCGCGCCCCGCTCCCCTACTCCTGCTCCCTTCCCGCACCCTCCTCCGCTCCTGCCCATGCTAATCCCGCTATGGATCGACTGATCAACAAATTAACTTACGGGTAGAGTGACCAGCAAACTAGTTCGTAGATACAGGGAATTACAAACTAACTCACGGACAGGATGATCAACAAATTGAATTACGGTTGGTTTGATCAACAAAAATAACTGATTTAACTGAATAGTCTGATAAATAACTCAAGAATAGATTTATCGATAAACACGTTTACTGATATAATTATAAATAAACCTGCTTTAATGACATACGGGTCAATAAACCTTGTTACTGATCAAAAAACTTATATCGATGATCTTGAATGATAACCTTTCTTTAGTCGGTCGACTACTTTGTTCCGTATTTCACGCGTCCTAATCACACATACATGCTTGTAATTGATAATGTGTTTTGGTATTATCAGTTGCTTGTAAATTGATCATACATTTTGCTATTGGCAGGACATATGCGGCATGTACGGCTACGAAACACTGAACGTCTACCGCTTCAAGGAGCACGAGTTCAATGGTGCGAGACCGTACTGCCATCTACCGGACGATGCGCACATCACCGTCATGGTGAAATTATTCTAAGCGGAATGAGCGGCGCTTCCTGAACAGAACTCCGTCATTCTTCGTTATTCGCTCATGGCTTCCACACGCAAGAAACGTGAATTGCGCGTGATAGAACATTTGAATGTCCCTGAACCTTTATATATGTATATACTATATATGTATCTATATCTATATAATTTATTATATATATATATACATATATATATATATATATATATATATACATATATATATATATATATATAATACGTGCTTGATATAGTAACAACGAGCCTAAGAAATGGTGTGCAAAGAAATTGAGTAGGTTTGTATTAACGACTACAGCGTATACTGTGAATTCCTGGCAGACGAAAAATATACGGTTTTTTACTTATTAATATTATCATCATACGTAACCGTTCTCTCGTCGTTGAAAGCGCTAGTATTGAATATTTCATGGTCCGATACTTTACTATATACGTCGATTCGTGATTGCCTCGAGACATGTTATATGTTCCCGCTGCGAAGAGCAACGAACTAGCCGCGTATGATCATTATATTGGAGGAGCGTTTAGGTTTATACACGCACACGAACGGACACACGCACATACGCACACGCACACGCGCACGCACACGCACACGCACACGCACACGCGCACGCGCACGCACGCACACACACACACACACACACACACACACACATATATTTATATATCTATATATATATATATATATATAGTTAGTTATAGTTAGTTGCACTCGTCGTTGGAAGGAACCGCTGCACGACATGTGACACTTGCTGTCGCCACTTGCGGTGGCTACATGTCGTAGAGAGCGGTCTCATCCTAGCAGCTAGCAAGCTACGACAACCAGAACTCTCGCCACCATGTTATATCTCCACTCGTACAGCGGCCGTAATGCGTGATTGATCAGACGTGCGGATTCACTTAATGCAAGCCCGCGCTACGGCGAGGGAGTGCGCGCGCCGCTGATGGCACAGGGTGTGATCGATCTGTGAGGTAATCGAATTCTACGATCGATTATTCAGACGATAAATTCGTTGCGGGGGGAAATTTGGCGTGTCGCAATTGTTGTTGTTGTTGTTGTTGTTTGTTGTTGATTTTTCTCGGGATGGAAATAAACGATGGATGCTGATTCGTAATACACGGTAGTTTTCGCGAAGTTTCTGCGGATGTTGACTGCGCGTTCAATTATTGAAACAGCGCCAGCGTGCGTCGAGCCAATGTTGCTCAGAAGAAATTTTGTATTAATTTAAGGATACGGCTTAGGCGTTATATAGATGGCGCCACTAGACCGTCGCGGCCAGGCGCAGGGGGAGCAATATGGACAGCAGTGAGTGATTGATTCATCGTAGAGTAGACACACGTGTTGTGTGTGTGTGTGTGTGTGTGTGTGTGTGTGTGTGTGTGTGTGTGTGTGTGTGTGTGTGTGTGTGTGTGTGTGTGTGTGTGTGTGTGTG